TCATATATATATATATATATATATATATATATATATATATATATATATATATTACACACACACATACGTATCTATATTTAATATAGAAATGTGTATACACACACACACTAATTAAAAAAAATATAATATTAAATTAAAATATTTATTATGATTACTATCGTTATTATTTTATGTACGTAAGCATGGAAAAGAGAGAGCTTTTATTTCACTTATTTAATTGGGTAATGTTTTTCTCCAGTTGAATTTGATCAAATTCGAAACACTATCAAGATAGTATAAAACGACCCCACGAAACAAATCAAATGTGCATGCAACGAACATCCCAGTGTCTTGTATGTGTATTCAGCAGTATAAGAATAACCTACCCTGCATCTCGTGCCAATCTGCCTCTCAGTGCCTCTCGTGTAGGAGAGATAAGCTTTATCACGCTCTATAGACACTGGTGAAAGTGAACATCCTGTCCTGCCTGACTGCTGCTCCACACAGCCTCCTATCTCTGCACTGACCCAAAAAAACCCAGCAGACACTGGAAACATCTCACGCCAACACATCCTGCGGCACTCGCGCTAAACCTGCAACACATAGTTCACCATCCAAAGAGTTAGTTTTACACGCAGAATAAGACCAACTCTTTTTGTTTAAATGCAGAACATGACGACTGAATGTGAATGGAACATGTTTATTTAGTGACTTCATTTAATTTATGGTTGAACACATCGAATATAAAAGTTATTTTGTCTCTTGCTGAGAGCAGTGATTAAAAACAGCTACCCAATTGGCTAAATTACAATCCTCAAACACTGCAGATGCTGGTAAATAACGCCTCTGGCAGGCGGGTCATTTCCAAGGCAACAGCTCTGAATATGTGTTTTTAATAGTTGCAGACGGAACGGCTCATTTCTTGACGAAGAATCGTGTGATGTCAGAGGCCAGTTTGGAGGCGGCTTGGTCTCGTTTCATCTGACTTCTGTCTTTGGCTTGCTGTGCGGTCCTCTGCAAAACAAACCCACCACAGATTCACCACGAAATACTACAAATGTGTTGCATATTCAAATGAAAGGATGAATATAAATGTAAAAATTAAATAATGGTATTTCAATTCTGTCTTTATTTTAAACACTGTACATTAAACAAAATTAAATAATAATAATAAATAATTTTATTTAATAATTAATTAAATCAGTAAATATAAAACAGTATTTTAATTAAAACAAAAACATCCATTTAATAAATGCTGTAATCATTAATAACAATACAATAAAACAACATACTTTATTATTATTATATTTATATAAATAAAACAATATTTATAAAATATTTAGTGCACTTAAAAGGTTTCAAATAATTAAAATAAAATATTGTAAGCATTAATAAATATAAAACACTATATTAGTGCTGTCAAATGATTAATCGCAATTAATAGCATCCAAAATAAAAGTTTGTTTACATAACATATGTGGGTACAGTGTATATTTATGCACGTATAAATAAATACACACACATACTGTATATATTTATATTCGTATAATTTAATTTGTATAAATATATTTGATATATAAACAACATATTTTTCTTAAATATATACATGCATGTGTTTCTATTTATATATACATAATAAATATGCACAGTACACACACACATATATATATAATGTAAACAAAGACTTTTATTTTGGATGCAATAAATCGCAATTAATCATTTGACAGCACTACTAAATAGTAATTATTGTTTTAAAAAATTCATGTTTAAAATATTTATATAAATAAATATTGTATACATTTTATATATAACTTAAAATGTTTTTATTTTAAAATAAATTACATATGAAAAATTCCAAATATGCATTTGTGTGTGTGTGTGGATGAAATGCTGTACCATCCGATGGCAGACGGTACAAAGGGTTTGAAGGTTCTCGAGGGAACACTGTCCTCCTCCTCTGTACACGGGGTTAATGTGGTCCACCTGCCAGAACTGTCCTTCAACGGGACTCTGAATCATTTCATTCAGCTGCGACATGCAAACACAGACAATGTCAGACAAATCAATTAGATCTTCAAATATTTCTCTCATGACCGATACAATACAGATTATTTTTATGTCTAAGTGTCCAGTAACCGATATGCAGCACCCATTTTATTTATTGATTTGCTGCTTTTTAGAACAAACACTTCAATTGTATAACAATAACTAAACAAAAACAACACTATTAGTTAACAATATTTAATAAAAAATAGTTAATTTTTCATAAAAATACTGATATCAAAAATTTGTATTTGCATCAATTTATTACAAATATTGTTGAAATAATAATAAATAATATACTTTAATAAAAACATTGCCATAAATAAAAAAAATAATGGATACGTGTTGTAATCATTAACAATAATTACTCAATGTTATAATTATTAACAGTTTTTTGTTCTATTAACAAAAAATTATTAATAAGAACCACCACATCTTAAATAATCATAAAAAATAACATATATATATATATATATATACAGTGGGTACGGAAAGTATTCAGACCCCCTTACATTTTTCACTCTTTGTTATATTGCAGCCATTTAAAATGTCAACAATTCTGTGTTTTTCTGTCAATATGGGGTGCTGTGTGTACATTAATGAGGAAAATACATTAACTTAAATGATTTTAGCAAATGGCTGCAATATAACAGAGTGAAAATTAATTTTTTTTTAAAATTTAAAATACTTTCCGTACCCACTGTATATATATTAAAAAAACTAATAATAAAAACAATAGTTTTTTTAAATGTGGTTTTGGGCTATATGATATATCTAACTGTTAAACTTAAATTTACTCTGTTGTTTCCTGTTGAACGCAATATTAAAGGATCAAAACTACTGATAATCGATGAATACTGATAATAATCCAAGTATGAGTCTATCTTTTAAAGAATACAGCACTTGAAAGACTCCACCACCCAGAGAGTCTTGAGAGTGTCTTAACAGTGTTGTTGCTGTGTGTAGATCCTTTTTATTCCTGTTGTTTTATTGAACCGCTACATGAAAGCGCTCAGAATAGCCCGTTGGGAAACTTTATAATTCCCTTTATTCCAGCAGACCGCCGCGGCGAAGGACTCCAGGTGTTCAGCAGGATTAAAGCTGGAGTGGAAATCACGAGTGGACGATCAACGCTGGGAACGCGAGGCCCAAGCCCAAGCGCTGGCATTTCAGCGCGCGGCGCTCTCTGGAGAAAACCCAATCAATCCTCTCCTTGACCCTTAGCAGAGCCGGACGATAATTATCCTGAATCTCAAGGGTCGCGACACGGATGATAACCTCGCACTACGAGAGCGGGACGCTTCCTTACTGGACCTTGGGCGTCAATAAGTCAACGAGTACACGCAAAAACACATGCTAATGCTAGGAAACAGCGAGCGCGCACAAAGGTTTCTCCGTAATAATGCTTTGCGTGTACGACAGCAGGCTTGTTTGTGCGTCGAGGGCACTTGGAGCTTAAAGCGTGTTATTGATCAGGCCGCTGCCGCTCGGGGCTCTAACAGAAAAGCCGAAGAAAAATCAAACCTGCACCTCGTAGCAATGCACTGTGGGAAAAATCAATGGCAATCTGACAGACTAGGCGTTGTGTTAACGCTGGATGCTCCGGGGAGGAAAGGACGGCTCTGTTTGTGTGTGTGTGTGTGTGTGAGAGAGAGTGTGAACGGCACTGATGATAACTCTATAGAGAGAGTCAGAGAGCAGACGCCCAAGGCCACGAAGCTCTTATTGCTTCTGCAAGCTAAACAGGCCATCTTTATTTAGCTTTCACTGTAAGCAATATTTTTTCAATAAAATGCAGCATCTGCCGAGTTACTCGCAAATGTTTGGGGATAATTCCGACTAATGTGCTTTTGGAAGTGACTAATGCGCGCTTTTCCCCAAACTCTGGCCAACTTCCCAGACGAAATTAGTCCCGGTGCTACGTACACCTCTCGCAGAATCTACTAGAGGAAGTTTTTGAGCAGGAGCTACGAGGAGGGCAATCGACTGCTTCTGTGGACATGGATGAAACTCTGAGATTACTTTTTAAAGCAGATTCTAAAGAAAGAAAAAATAAGAAAAAGTTCTATGAAGAGTAGATGATGCTGCTTTCTTAAATAATACCTATTATTATTATTATTATTATTATTATTAATAATGAATAATTAAGTAATGGACATTTCCTACAAAAATTATATTTACTATCATTATTAAAATATTTGATGATATTTGAATGATAATATTATTTAGTGACATTTATGTTGGTTAGAAGAAATATGCTAATAATATTTGTGGCATTTATTACTATTTGTTGTTAACAATAACAATAGCTATTTATAATAAAAGAACATTATTAATAACAATAAATAATACAAATATGCAATTAATAATAATAATTATTAATATTTTGAAGCATATTTAGGCAAGCATTACATTTTTAACTGAAATGCTTTTGTTGTTATTAAAATTATAATATTATTTTGTGGCGTCTTAGTTTTTTAAATTAGTAAAAATATTATTTGTAGCATATTTATTATTACTGAATATTTCTTGTTATTAACAACAATACTGGCTACTATTTTTAACAATGACAAATAACAACATGCCACAAATATTGTTAATGATAATATTTTTTGTGGCATATTTATGCATTACATTTTTTAGAAGGCATTTCAACTTAAAAATACTAAAATAATGGCGGTCTGCTATTTTTTTTATTATACAATCCACAAAAGGGGATAATAAAAAATGTCTTTATTTTTTGTTATATTTATCCTAGTCTTGACATCTAATAGCTGGGAGAGTGCTGTGACTGTTTGAATTAAGGTAAAAATACTGAAACTGTCTTGCGCATTGCATTCAAGTTTTAAAAAAAGACCAGAATATGCACATTGAAGAGTTTGAGCAACTTTAGCATGTAATGGATGGATGGATGGAAAGAAAGAAATATGGCCAAATATGCAGATGAGGCTCCTAGAAATGAGCCCAACCTGTTTGAGAGGGAGTTGTGCCAGCCAGGTGTTGTCCAGCATCTCCTTGCGGTGTGTGCGCGGGGCGTCCCGGACCTGCACGTACAGCTGGTGGGCATTGAGTCCGCAATGCTGACACACACCCTGCTCCGTCTCCAGCACGCGGGCGCGCATGTAGCCCTGATTGGAGCGCAGCTGGAAGTCCTCCATACAGGCAGGGCTGCAGAAGCCTCCTGCCCAGCCGCGGTGCTCCCCGCTGGGCTTCTGGCAGGACAGACACAGGGGGGTCCCGGCCGAGTCCATGGCCTGCAGGTAACCGGCTGTAGTGTTTGTCTGAACACACACCGAGCTCTCTGCTTCCCTGCAGACACAAACACACATTAGCAAGTAGATTTGCACATTTTCTGAAGAAATATATAAATGGGTCTGGTCTGTAAAAAACACTTGCTGTTATACGTTTATAAGGTTTTGATGGTTGTCACAGTGTTGCTAGGTGGTTTCTAGGGTGTTCTTGGTTGGTTGCTATATACAACATTCATATTCAGAAGAATGTATATATACATATATATATACACACACATATATACATACACATATACAGTATATATATATATATATATATATATATATACACACACATACATACATATATACATACATATATATTATATATACATTTCTTTGAGAAATTTTAAATTGTTTTACCAATAGATTTGCACTTTTAGAATTTTAATTTGCAAAAAAAATCCACAAATAATTATGCATCATTTAAGAATAATAAAATAATTTCATTTTCAAATCAACAGTTTTTAAAAACTATGTAATTTGTGACTATATTCCAAAAAAAAGCATAAATATGGCACATTATTACTATTATTATTATTACTACTATTCCTATTATAAGTATAACATTTGCATATGTGTACATTTTTGTATAAGTTATCAGACGTTATATAAAATATTTTAATACAAAACAATATTGTGACTAATTATATTGTAAAAAACTGCATAAATGTGGCACATAAAACAATGATAATAATAAGAATGATTAATATTGGTAATAATAACAATATTACAAATGTATTAAATATCAATTAGTTACGTTATTAGTATAAATATTAAGTAGTTATTAGTATTAGTAATATACATATTGTATTGTGTTCCAAAAAGCATAAAAATTTTTTTATTTGGGTAAAAAACTTGCATAATTGTGGCAATAATAATATTAATAATACAAAACATTAATTAGTTAAGTTATTATTATTAGAAGTAGTAATATACATAATGTATAATTCCAAACAGCATAAATCAAACAGCACAAAATTTTGTTTCAAAAACATAAATAAAACTATACAAAAATGCATTAAAAATGCATAAAACTAATTTATATTTGCAATAAATCCTGCAAAAATGTGGCAATAAAAAAAAAAAAGACTATATATTATCCAAATTTATTTTTTGTTCCAAAAGAAAAAAAAAATTCAAACGATACATAAAAAACAGTTCTTAGTTACTTAACCTGAAATAATCTGCTGTAAAAAAAAAAAAAAGAAAAGAAAAAAGAAAAAATCAAATCACCAGTGTGCTAACCATTACACTGTGGCTCCAACAAGGCATATTCTTTCGCTAACCAATTTTAATGATCAGTGTTAACACGTATGTATGTACGAGACTAGTCTTGATCACACTAACTAGTCTAAACTTCACCAGGAATGACTTTCTCTCTAGTCCTCCATCAGTTCTCACTTTCTCTCTCTCTCATCCCGGTTTCTTCCTCTCCATCGCCTAAAAATATCCAGCCCCAGACAGCGCTCTGTACATCGCAATTTTTTCCTCCCGCGGTTTCCATGGCGACACTGCAGCACTGGCGTGTGTGGATTAAGCCCTTATCCTCTGCACTAAGCATTCTTGAACACACTCCACACACACACACTCATATCGCAGCTTTACAAGGTTAACCGTTCGCTGCTACACACATAATTACATGCCGAAATGCACTTTCAAAGTAAATTGTCACTCGCTGTGCAATATATATATATATATATATATATATATATATATTTTGCAGGAGTGATGCAAATTCATAAATATGTATCTGTCAGCGACAGTCTCCACCCTGACCGCAGGAGCAAAGCCAAGTGAAAAACATACATATTCATTTCCATTTGTGGATTAGCTACACCTGGGGCAGCAGCCGTCGCGGTTTGAGATCTCATCGCGCGACAACAAAGTCTGATGACTTTCTCACGTAGCCACAAAGTACGAGAGGAAACAGCTGTCACATATGATCAAAAAGCCACGGCATGGCTGTCAGGGCCCATGCGCGCGAGTGTGTTGATGACTTCATCAGCCATTTCCGCGTTATTCCCTCACTGAGATCACACGTGTGGCCCCTTCCCCAAAACCCAGTCTATTGAAGGAGTTAGTGTTTGAAATGCTCTCTAGTTGATAAGTGGGTGTTGCTATGTGGTTGCTAGGGTGTTATGAGTGTTTTAATGTGTTGCTATGCAGTTGCTATGATGTTTTTGATGGTTGTTCTTGATGGTCGTCTTCTGTAGGATTTAACATTTTTAATACTGACTAGTTGATAACCAGGTGATGCTATGTGGTTGCTAGGGTGTTATGAGTGTTTTTACTGTGTTGCTATGATGTTTTTGATGGTTGTTCTTGATGGTCGTCTTCTGTAGGATTTAACATTTGAAATACAAGTTGATAAGTGGGTGCTGCTGAGTGGTTGCTAGGGTGTTATGAGTGTTTTACTGTGTTGCTATGCAGTTGCTGTGATGTTTTTGATGGTTCTTGACTACTAGTAGCTAAGTGGGTGGTTGTTAGTGTGCTATGAGTGGTTGCTAGGGTGTTATGAGTGTTTTACTGTGTTGCTATGCAGTTGCTGTGATGTTTTTGATGGTTCTTGACTACTAGTAGCTAAGTGGGTGGTTGTTAGTGTGCTATGAGTGGTTGCTAGGGTGCTATAAGTAGTTGGTAGGATGTTTTTACTGCATTGCTATGCAGTTGCTATGATGTTCTTGATGATGATCATCTGAAGGATTTAATGTTTGAAATACGAGTTGATAACCATGATGCTATGTGCTTGCTAGGGTGTTTTGAGTGGTTGCTAGGGTTTTATGAATATTTTACTGTGTTGCTATTATGTTTTTGATGGTCGTCTTCTGAATTATTTAAAATTTTAAATACTCACTAGTTAAGCAGGTATATGGCAAATATGTGGTTGCCAGGGTGCTATGAGTGTTTTTACTGCATTGCTATGTTTTTGATGGTTGTTCTTGATGGTCGTCTTCTGAAGGATTTAACGTTTGAAATGCTAGTTGATAAGTGGGTGTTGCTATGTGGTTGCTAGGGTGTTAGGAGTAGTTTTTACTATGCAGTTGCTAAGATGTTCTTAATGGAGAAGAATGATGGTCATCTTCTGAAGGACTTAACATTTAAAATACTAGTTGATAAGTGGGTGTTGCTATGTGGTTGCTAGGGTGTTACGAGTAGTTTTTACTATGCAGTTGCTAAGATGTTCTTGATGGTGGAGGTCGTCCAGATTGAGTTGTTGCAAAAAGCAAAAATAAAATTTTTATAATAAATTTTTGCATAAGCTATCACAAAAACAAGCGGTCTTTTGTAAGTATTTATTATTGTTGTGCCTTGTCTAGATTTTTACAATATGACAACCATTAATATTATTAATAACTAAATTTGTATAACATTAACTTTAATAACAGTTATTATTATTATTATTAAGGGTTATGGGTGGTCAGACCTGTTGCTGGGGTCAGTATGTTCGGATGAGGATTGTCTTTTCGGACCGATGTTGTCCTTTTTGATGATACGGAGAGCTCCGCCCTCTTTCTGGGCCACAGTGATGGAGGTCTGAGCTACATCCTGTCTGGAGAGATACCTGTCAGAGACGGACAGAGAGAGACTGTGAGGAACTGAGTGCCAGAAAGGGAACATCATGGTGGCATGAAGAGGGCAGTACAGTATCTGCTACCAGAAAACACACACACAGCTGATGTTTGTGTAACAGAAC